ACAGAGGAGAGAAGATGTTCCTTTGATTCTGGCTGCAGTGTTAACAATCGTGAAGTTTTAAAGATTAAGGTTTGACGTCACTGGCCAGTCCAGGTACGCGTGTTCACTCTGCTTGTCCCTTGCTCCTGCGGAGGCAAAAGCCCACCCTCGGGTGAGTCCAGATCGATTTCTGGAAGTGCTTCCAGGGGTGTCAGGCATTGTGACCGTGTCCTGGAGACTCAGGCCATCTTCTGTCTACACTGGGCATTGAGGGTGAAAGCTCAGTTGTTGCTCATGTGTTCCTCTCAGCTTAGGCTCAGGACTTTTGCTGACTCTCTGCCAGGGACATATCAACCAGAAAATCTGAGAGTATGGTGCCAGGACTGAAAAGGGCAAAAGAGTAAGCCGTGCATAGAGGGCACTGGTGTCCAAGGCACATAGTCACGGTGCAAGGAGACCTCCAGCCTTCCCTCGGCATTATCAGCTCTCGCCCACCTCGGATTCCCCCTCCCTAATTGCACGAGGGGGCGGAGGCACCCTCTGTGACCTCCAGCAGAATATTTGCTGGTGAGAGTCCCCAGTCTGCTGAGAAGAAAACACCCTGGCTCGTCCTGATACTCCCGCCCTTGCTGAGTTGGTGAAGACACCCCCTGGGCTTGGGTTTCCATGGGCTGAGACCATCCCTTCCTCTAGCTTTGGGGACACTTGCTATGGTTGACCTTGACTCTTGACAACCCATTCAAACTGCATTTGCAAGACGTGCAAAAACATCTTCAGCGGGACCATTCAGGTCCCTTGTGGGGTGAACATCATTGAAAACTGGGTAATTATAAGTCATGTAAGAATCAACATCTGGTAGAACAAGTCCACCTGTGACTAACTTCCTGTAACCAGGTAGTTAGTGAGTACATCAGTGACTGTGCTCAGACTAGTTAGCATTCAGTCACCAACTTGCAATCAGAATTCCCCACACTTGGCACTTGTTCTGGAGACCGTAGAAGACGCTGTTTGCATAATTTTAGAACCTCCAGATATACTTTAAACAGTGAGGTAGTTTTGAATGGCATTTCATTAAGGCATCTATGGGCATTATGAGCTAAAAGCTGTGGTATGTTAGCTTTAAAAGAGTATTTATGTTGGAGTAATTTTTAAATAATGTTTACATAACTGTAAGTCCTGTGTGGTTGGTACTGAACACAGGGCAGTGCACGAGCGTGTTTCTAGTGAGCAGAGATCTTCCCAGGCACCGGACTTCCTTTGGGGATGAATCAACATCATTTGAAACAAAATATTTGCAAAAGATTCAAAGTTATATTTTTTAACGATCAGAATATGCCCCCAGAGGACTATGTCTAATTAAAATGATTGCTGGAAGTAAAAAGAAAGAAAGAAAGGGAAAGAAAGAAAGGAAGAAAAAGAAAAGAAAACAAAAAAAAGATAGAAGAAATGCATGGGAATATTTTTTCCTTAAAACAGAAAAAAATCTAAGTATTATGAATAATAATATATGTCTGTATATATGTATGTATGTAACTGTCAGAGCCTTAATCAATGCAGTGTGATACATGCCGCCCCACCGACGGTAGCTTTACTGAGGAGGCCCTCCTGGACCAGCCTTGTGTTTGTGGTTCTTTTTTTTTTTTTTATACCAAGCTGTCTCCCTTGGCCTTTCCTGGCTCTGGGTGGAGGTTCAGCCTACATATCATGATCCATCGCAGACCCTGTCCTGGGGGATCTTTGGTTCAGCAGATGGAGCAGCTTGTCACGTGGCCCAGGTCTTACCTGCTTCACAGGGTGGAGTCCATTTCTCAGATGTTTGTGTTTTAGGAGCTTTTATTTTGTTCCATTTTATCTGTCAAACTTGAAACAGAAATCAGGATGCATAAGGCGGCTGCAAAGGGTCTCTCTCCGAGGACATGAAAATTCTGTAAGTTCCAGCCTTTAGAAGTCTAAATAAGATTAATGATACACAAGGTCCTGGGTTCATTCCCCAGTACCTCTGTTAAAAAATAAATAAATAAATAAACCTAATTAACACCCCCTCAAAAGATTAAACATTACAAAAAATTGTTTTAAATAAGATTAATTAATTCCCTGGAAAAGTGAGACGGAGACAGAAAGAGTCAGCTCTGCCAGGATTTGCCACCCTCGAGAAACAATGGTACTTATTTTTCTCTCTTTAGTATGAATATTTTCAAAAACACACAACTTCAACAATTATCAACCTATGGCCAATTTGAAACAATGGGACTCTTATGAAAACCTTTATTTAGGCCTTCTGTGAGTGATGTATTAGCAGAAAAGACAAGCTCTGATTCAGCTGGGTCTGGCCAGACAGCACCCCTGGAAGCTCAGACCCACGACATGTACGCACAGTGCAGGTTCCACAAGGAGCCGCACGGCTGGCTTCACGGGAGAAAGTCCATTCAGCAGAAGGACCCTGCCTCGGCTCCTCCAAGTGCTCAGTGACTGCCCTGCACACATCCCAGGGGCCATTACCCAAGCTGCTCTGTCCTTTAATTAGGGGCCAGGCCTTGGGGCTGTCACAGAGCTCCAAGACTGGCTTCGTTTCGGAGAATCATCTTAATGACCTGATGAAATATTTGGGGTTTGGGTCTTCAGCCTGGTCCAATTCTAGTGTGATCTGGTCTAGCTGATGCTAGAGCCTGGATCCCAGGGCAGGGTTAAGGGTCCAGAATTACCTTCAGCCTGTGGAATTTCTCCAAACAGAAAGCAAGGCTGTGTGCTGATTCACTGTTTTCCTCTAAAATTAGGTTTCATATTACTCATGAAATGATCAGCTTGTTTAAATCATTTGTAAAATCTTGTTAACTAGCAGGTCACACCAGGGTTTGCCCTTGATCCGGTCCATTTGATAAGTCTCCAATAATTCGTGGCATTGTTACTGTTCAATGTGTGAACAAACGTTCCCTTGGCTTTAGCAGATGTTTTTCAAGTCTCCATTGCAGACTGAACTTCTGAAAAGTAATCCCAAATGCCTAAAAGTTTTCTTTTAAAAAAAGAAAAACCGTTTGGAGCATTATCTATAAATATATTGTAATTTTTATTTTGCGTGATTTACATTTCATGAAACGTCACTTTCGAAGAGGAAACAGAGAGAAGCTAATGTATGTCTAGAAAGAGTTGTTTCATTAAAGGATGTGAATTTATTAATGTGTCCTGGGCTTGTATTACTAGTTCAGACAAGATCGGTGTTCTTGGTCATCATTCTCTCCAAGACCACAAGACCTTGGGGAGGAGATAAAAAGGGACCTTCTCTGTGGCCTTCTACTCTCTGGTGAGTCCCCAGTGCCTGGCTCCGAAACAGAGCTCCCTGTTGGACCCAGAAAGACATGAGATAGGCTCAAGAGGGCTTCAGAATTGGCCCCTTTCTTGGACCCAAACAGGCTGGAATCTGACAACGTAAACATTGTGGAGATGGCTACTAGCAGGGCAGTACCAGATGTGGTAGGCATCCTCCGTTTGTCCCTCAGCAACTCCTTCCACTTGTCTCCACCTGGTTTTGAGCCTGAGGACATTATGTGGCATCTAAACAGAAGGTCATGGCTCCTATAAGAGGGGTCTCTCTCTCTCTCTCTCTGGGCTCAGGCAGCCACTCCTTCCACTGACCCCTTCAGGCTTAGGGGAGTAATGACACTGCCCGTCTAACCCTGTGACTGCATTATCCCCCAAGGGGAACCTATATCAGTAGTCCTTTTAATAAGCCCTCCTTAAATATAACTAGTTGCCTATATCACTTATTTCCTGTGGGGGCCCTGGCTGCTACAGTGTCATTTCTAATCAAGGAGAGTCTTTTGAGTTTGACCAGATAAAGAGACTTCAGGGTGTGTTTGGAGTTTTGTGGATCATATCAGAGAAGGGTAATATGGGGCCGTGTTTCTAAAACCACTCAGTCTTAATGCAAAATGATTTAACACATGCAACTGTTTTGTACTATAGCATCAAAGTTTTATGACTTTTGCAATCACCAGTACCTGAAGGATGAGCCCCAATGGTGCAAGGGTATGAGTGCTGGATGTGTCAGTCAGGACAGAGTAGCTTATGCTGCAACAACAAAAAACAACCATCACGTGTCAGGGGCTTTGCATAAGAAAGACTTAGTTCTTGTTCGTACTGCTTGTTCATGTCTGGTATCTGGCAGACTCCACCACCGACCTCAACCCCCATACCATCCTCAGTCAGGACTGGGCTGATGGAGCAGCTGCTACCTGGAGCGTGGCCGATTTCTGTGGCAGAGGGAGAGAGTGTGACAGATCACACACTGGCTTTTACAACCGCCCAGGAGAGATGCATCACTTCTACTCGCATGTCATTGGCCAAAGCAACTCCTTTGGCTACTTCCCATTTTAAGAATGAAGTGAGCTAGAAATATCTGGTGGGTTCCACTAATGACTCTCACATGGGACATTCAGGGATTCGGAAATAACTAGAATCCTTCTGTTGGTTTTCACATTTTACTTCATCCCTACTTCCTTACTGACATTTCAACAGAGATTTTTGAAAACCAGAATAAGGCCACCTATCATCTGGAATAGACGAGCTTTTTGAACTGGCCAGAATTGTTGCCTGGCAAACCATCAGTGTGACTGGGCTGGTACAAATTTTAATACAGATTATCAGAGACTCTCAGGATTGGCAACTCTAACTGCTCACCCACTAAAGGCATTCTTTCTACAGTTCCTAAGGAGCTAATTCTCAGGTCTAATAGTTCCAGAGGGGGAGAGCCCACTCACTTCACCCACCCCCTCTTCTTCGGGTGATGGTGCCAAGTTCCCTTTGCAGAACCACCTCCTCGCACATTGGAGGAATCCTTTTTGGGCAGAGAGTCAGTGAGGTCCAGGTCCTCCTTGGGCACATGACCCAAACCCAACCAATCAGATCCTCTTCCTGAGACTGGAGTCCTGATCTAGGGGCAAAAGGGCTGAGATACTTCGGAGTTCAATTTACCGGGGAGGATGCCCTGAGAACACTGGCTAGGAGTCCTTGCTGCTGAAGTCTCAGGAACAACCTAGCTCTGCCCTCCCAGAGCCTGGGTCCCTGCCATCTCTTCGCTCTGAGGGTGATGCTACACCCAACCGACAAGTTCCCCTGCTTCTTAAATTCCAAAGAGCCTGTTTTGACGCTTATCACCCCAGAACCACGACTGAGCCAGACACTTAGGCCAGCACACCCCTCGATTGGAGGTCTTAGCAGTTCTTCAAAAGGTGTAATGTGTCCATTGGAAGGAGGGTTGGTGACCAGTGGATACCGAGCAAACAAAAAGAGTCAAAAAGGGCCTTGCTGGCCTTGGCCATCCACAGACAGCCTAGCCAGAGGGGGCTGGGGCCATCAGCTGGAGTTCCTTGCTCCAGCTCCCTGGTCCAGGTGTGATTCTATGCTCACCAAGCAAAGTTAGAAGCATAATTTGTACCAGTAGTGCTGATTTAAATGGTCCAGCCATTGTCGACTATGTTATCCCCCTTCATAGACTGAGACTGAGGCTGAAAGAAGTTACTTCACTTGACTGAGACCACACAAGGTCCAGAAGGGCAGCCAGCGCTTTACACAGAGGTCTCTCTGAACCATGTCTCTCCGACATCGAGGCACTGGTAGATTCAGTTTAAGCATCACTGTGGAGTCTTGAGGACTGGAAGCCCCGTGAGGCAGAGACCACACTGGTCTTGTTCAGTATAGCAACCCTGTGCCTGGATCCCAGCACTGCATTTTCCAGGATCACCTGCCTAACAGATGCTGCCTCCATCCCCTGTCAGTCAAGTCCCAAACCCAGGAGTCAGCTTCATCATGCACTTTCCCTCCCCTTCTGTCCCCTCCCTGACCCACATTTTTTTTTATCATCAAGTCTCACTGCCTCTACCTCCACAATAAGCCACAAACCCATTCACTGCCTTCCATTGCCACTGCCCCATCCCAGGGCAGCCAGCTCACCAGTCTCCAGGTGAACACTCGTGTCCCCTGTAATCCAGGCTATACAGAGAAGCTGAATAATCTTTCATCAGCATCAGTTCGATCATGCCCCTCTCCCACTCAAAAACCCCTGCAAGTCTTTCCATTGCTGTAAGACAGAAATCTTCCCGTGCTCACATCACCGGACCCCTGACTCACTCTGTCTTTAACCGCTTCCAGGTTCCTCCCCGGTTTATGTTGCTGTGGGCACGCTGGCCTCCTTCTGGTCCCAGCACGCCAAGCCTGCTTCAGCCCCGGGACTTTGCATTTGCTGTTCCCTCTGCCTGGGACCCTCTTCTCATCTTTCACGTGCATCCTAAATGTCATCTCTCTGAGACAGCTAAAGCAACTGCCTCCCAGTCACTCCGGTCACCCTCCCCTTACACCCCACTTGTCCTCCAGCATGATTTTCGCTTGTTCTGATTGTTGTCCGTCTGCCCTCGCTGGAACATACATACCCTAAGAGTTGGGGCCTCATTTGCCCTCATTCCTGTGCCCAGGATAGTACTTGGCATTTAGAAGGTGTTAAAAAGATTTGTTGAGTAAATGAATGAATGCACTCATTGAAAGGACCAAATTACTGGTTTTAACCGTGTTGTTTTATTGACATGAGACTCCAACTCCTTCACCATTTTGAAGAAGCAAACTCCTCACGGAGAACTCATGAGAAATATAAGGCAGCCCACGTCAGTGGCTTCCTCCAGCTCCACGAGGCTCCTGCTCAAAATGTGAGAACAGGGTGGGGTGAGGCTGAACTCACCGCCAGGCAGCCACTGGCCGGGGGCTAGGCTATGTGTTCACTGCTGCAGCCGTGCCTCACAGAGCGGGCTCCAGCGCCAGCCCCCAGGCACCCCCTGCACTGACGCTGGTGATGTGTTGACTCCATCGTTGCTGGGACAGTGGTCAACGCCACTGCCTGGCAGCTGGGATGGAGTGACTGCCTCACTCAGCCTGTGTAACCCATTGTTTCTAAAGAATTGCTGGCTGCAGAAGCTGCCAAGCTCTCGGGACAGCTGTGGGTTCTTCGCTGAGATGAAAGTGTAACCAAGGAAGGGGCTTGAAAAAGTGAAAAGGACAGAAAATGAAGGCAAAGAGAGTGGATGATCCAGGCTTTCCACAATGGCTGTGAAGTAGGGGACCGTCTCCCCAGAGGGATGGGCTGAGGACTTGGCGACTCCCCTGACCATAAATGGCTTGGCCAGGGCTCTCTTGGAGCCACCTCTTGCCCTGTCACCCTTGCTGTCCCAGCTGAATGTTCCCACAAATGCAAGACACAAACCAGTAACACCAGCAAGAGAGGAGCTTGCCAGGGGCAGTAGTTGGAGAAGGTTCTTGGGAGGCTGTCGGAAATGGTGAGTGAGAGCCAGCGTCTTTTCTCTGCCTAACCTTCATTTCTCTCTTTCAAAAACAATTCTGAGGCTTTTAAAGCTCATATCTCCTGATTCAAGTATAATTGTACCTTCAGTGCAAAGAAGTCAAGGGGCTTGGTTTTTAACTATTATGTGCAAAATACTAACCATTAAAAAAATTCTCACCTAACATCTGCTGATCCTATCTTATATTTTAATATTCAGGTTTTCTTTTTAAAACCTCACCTACAAGAGTGCAAAATAGATGTTTCAGCTAAATTCATTTCCCGGCTGGACCAGTGGGTCCAATCATTTTTTTCAGTCTGCCTTCTGCTAAGTGCTCAGCAACAGAGATGTTCATAAGCTGCATCAGAAACTGTCCACCTTTCTAACTGACTTGTGATCCATGTTTGGCTGTGACTCAATCAAATAAAGTTTGCTAGATTAGAAGGAGCTACTTCATATGAAACTGCACTACTGCTTCTGTGACTCCTTTATTAAAGAGATCATTAAAAGGAGCTGAATTCAGGCTTTGGAGTCAGGAAGCTCTGTGACCTAACCCAGCATCTATCACTTGCCAGCTGGGGACCTTGAGAAACCTGTCTTGGTCTCAGTCTGCTCACCCCGACGTAGGGATGGGAGTGCTCCTCTTATGGGCAGGTTATGCGTGCAGTGTCTGATGCACGGCGTGCCCGCGATAACAGTGGTAGTCATCCCACCTTTCCCTCCTTCCCATCACAAAGAGCAAGGCCATAATGAGTGACACGCAGCCACTGAGACCCTAATGTGCCTTCAGGACCGGTATGTAGATACCACACAGTGCTCAGACTAGCGATGAGTGTCTTGTACCAAATTCCAGTACCTTGAGTGTTGCTAATCCAGGTGGGCAATTCCACCCAACAGGAACTTCCCAGTGCCTGCCTTCTGCATCCCTCTGTGCTGGCCAGGCCGTGAAGAATACGACACTCCATGATCCCTGCACACCCAGAGTAGTCCTAGTTTGGAAAGAGCTGCCACAAATGTTATTTCCATTGGGTTTATCCCGTGAGATGGGCAGGGCAAGTTAATAGTATCCCCATTTTGAGGGTGGAAAAACTGTGTCTGGAAGAATAGATTTGTTGTGAGGAAATGGAGACCAGAGAGTTTGAGTCACTTTTCCCATGCCACACAGCTGCTAAGTGGCTGAGTCTGGATGTGAATCCAGATCAGGGGACGCCAAGCCCAGGACTGCCTCACTCCACCCAGCTGCCTCTCTGAAGGACACTGCATCAGATTCTCCTCCACCCGCGTTTACGTGATGTTTTTCTCTCCATGAGAGTGCTGTGGTGTGTTTCTACAAAATATGAACGTCTTTCTGAAACTGGCCAACATCTTCGTCATCCAAATGTTGATAAACAGCACGTGCAATGGCCCACTTGTTGCTGCTCCTCCCTTCTGCTGTGTCCCCAAAGGAAGCTTTGTCTTGGGCCTGCTGACTTCAGTACCCTTACTCACTGATGAGATAAGGCTCCAGGCAGCTGCTCTGATGCAGTGACCATCCAGTGCCCCAGCAGCCTCTGTGGGCTTGCTTGGTGTTGGCATGAAGGGCAGTGGTTAGGTCCCTTGAGCAAGAAGACCCTGACCTAAGGTTGCCTGGACGTCCCTCTTGCTCTAACACTGTCCTGGAAGAAGATAGTGAGCTGTGATCCTGGGGACTCTGATTATTCTGCAGAAACTGTTGGATTCCTGAGGAAGCTTGTAGAGTGGTGGAAAGATACTGTCACCGGAAGGCCCGGGTTCTGGTGACAGCTAACTAGTTGTATGCACTTAAGAAATGCGTTCAAATTCTTGCACTGATTTTCTTCTCTATAAAAAGTGAGGGTCCCCTCTGTTGCTAAGAGACTGCTAACAGTCACCACTGAAGCATGCTGGCTGGCTGGGGCCATTTTAATTGCAAGACATTGTGTCTGGGGCAGAGATAATGAAAATTGTACATTGTAGGTGCTTAAAATTTTTTTCAGTTCACGAAAGAGTTTCTCATTCATTAACCCCTCTGAATTCCAACCCTCCAGAAAGCTAGCAATAATAGGTGTTTTGCCAATTTTGCATTTATTGGGACTATCTCCTCTAGAACCATCTTTCAGGCTGGATTTGACTCGCATGGACCATTCGGCCTGTTTTAAGAGATAAGTTCTAACATTTATCCATGACAAATTTCTGAAGAGTCCTTGGGCCTCCGTTTCCTCTTCTGTAAACTGAGAGTTTTCAGATAGACCTTTGAGGAACCTCAGGTCTGAAATACTATGATTCTTTTGGATTCTGTAATCCTCCCCAATCTCCCCATTGTTGGATAGCACTTAATTTAAAAACCTAGCAAATGCATTGCTTCTAGAATGACAGGAGGCTTCAGGAAGATCGGGGGCTTGAGTTTGAACCAAGCCATGGGGGACCAGGGAGGCTGGGGCTGAGTGAGGGCACAGCCAGGGGACACCCATCAGAGATGGCTGGACACGAGGGGTGGGGTGGGGCCCAGGCAGTAGAAACAAGACCACTTCAGCCCCCTGAATGAGAGGCAGGAAGTGTGACCAGCTGAGCTGGAGCAGAGGCCACCCATTTTTCCCATCCCGGCAGGGAATGTACTGGGTAAAGAGCAGCCTAGACAAGCTAGCATCCAGGAGCTCAAGCCGGACGGACAGAAGATGGGGCCAGGGAGGGGGAAGGGGGCACCAGAGGCTCTGGGAAGGGCCGGACCCGGGCCAGTGGGTGCCTGGGCAGGCGACCAAGTTGGTGGCCCATTGAGCCCTTAATCTTTAACTGTTGACCTAGATTTGAGGAAGAGGAGAGGCTGGGTGCTGAGTGAGGGGAGGGGACA